TTCCAACGGTGTCAGTTTGTCTGGACATGGATTTATTACTCACCTGCTTAAGAGTGTAACAATAGACTGTCCGTCTGACTAATTATCGCAACAACATAAATGGTAACTTTCAAAAATCCGCGGTTTGTACACAGAGGGCGGTTACTGTACGCCGGAAATGACGTATTTTCAATTTGACGCTCTTTAAAGAAATATGTTTAACTCAGGTTCATAACGTCTGAAAATTCACAAGGTGAAGTGCTTCCTTCATGTTTTTAATTACAAAACTATTATTGAAACTACTATTATTTTTATCGGGATTTTCTGTTGAAATTATTTGTGCAGCCCAACGATCTCATACTCCTCCTGGTGGTAAATATGAGTAACTTCACACAGATTCGTTTAACCAGGAGTGTATAAGTTCTTACTTCTATTAATTATAATAGCAGACTATTAAAGCCCGAAGCTCAATTTTTCATAACATTACAATATTACATAGAACCAACAAGAAAAGCATTTTTACAGCAAAAAATTGAGGTGTCCATGTCACAGCCTAATCAATGATAGTGAAGAACTGGCAGGCGGTTGTCCAGCAGATCATCTTTGTCACCTATTTCAAGGAGAGTAATCCACAAAATGTCACTGCTAGAGAAGTTAGCTGTTCAGATACAGTCATGTGTCCTGATCCTGACATAATCAGCTCTGTGGGAGGAAAAACTATAGTTTTCAGGGAGAACATGTTTGTTGCAAGTAATAAGATTAACAACATCCATAATTTCCAAGAATCTTTTAAAAGTATTTAAGATGTAATGTAATTTGATAGGAGAGGGCTAGATAGAGTTCCAGGATAAAGTGACAGAGTCTCAAAGTACTCTTTGAAATTAAAATAAATTTAGAATTTCGTTGTGGACATCAAGATCCCATGAGTCTGAAGGAGTGAAAAGTGCCATTATCGAAGCTGCTTGAGGTCTAGAAGGGAGTTCTAAGAAACTAAAATCAGTTACTTTCTGTCTCTATGAGCAGTGAAGGGTTTTTATTATTTTTATCATGGCTCATGACTCAGGATGTCATTTTATCTGGGGGCAACACAAGCATTTTAGAGTGGAAACGGAGGGGGTTGTGGGGTAACAATGGATATTCTATTGCTTTTTGAGAGGTCCAATACATGGGGCTAATAGATTGAGAAAAAAAATATGATCTTGCTTATAATATGGTTGGCTAATGACACCAAGTTTCCATCTTAGTGCTAAATTTTACTGGGATTTTTAAGAAATCTAACTTTATAATCTGATGTGCAGAAACCCTCTGAGAATCATTGCACCCAGTAACCTCAGCAGAGGAGGCCAGATGGGCTCTGTTTTTTAAAGGGAAGCCCATTTTGTTGCTATGGTCACTGAAAATGACTGTACTAATCAGGCTGAAGTGGTGCAGAAGGTTACGGGGAGTGCTCTCTCTCTCCTGGTGTTTGCAGTGGCTAATATTTAACATCTGTACAAGTTATGTTCTGGGAAATATCCTAATGGCACTGTCATGTTGTACACAGTCTTTTAAACATGTCTTAAAACGCTGACCTCTCATGACTTGGGAACACATTATTATATTCCATATGAGCTCAGACAACTTGTACTTACTTCTTGTTTCCATGGCTTTGATGAATGATTTGTGATGCCCAGTTTGCAATATAAAAGAGTGGCAAAGAGAGGTAGGGCATCATGATGCTGCTTTGACTGGTGCTGAAAAGAAACCAGCTGCTCGAAGAAAGGAAACATGATGGATTTTATTCATACATCAGGTGTCCTAATTATACAGCATCTGCAGAACAACTACCGAGAATACAACAGCTTCCTCAGCTTCATGTCAATAGTGGGTGACCCTCGTAATATTTTCTATGTCTATTTCCCTCTCTGGTTCCATCTCAGCCATAATGTTGGCACCAAGATGATATGGGTGGCTGTTATTGGAGACTGGTTCAATCTTATTTTCAAGTGGTAAGTCTACTCGGATAATGGCATTTTATCTTTAAAAGTGTGAGCTTAGAAATTCAAATCAAACATCTTCTTACTCAGGATTCTGTATGGACAGAGACCTTATTGGTGGGTTCACGAGACCCACTTGTTCCAGAACAGCTCAAAGCCACATCTGGATCAGTTTCACATTACATGTGAAACAGGACCTGGTAAGTAGATTTGTATTGAGTTTAAGAATGTTGTTCAAAAAAACACTTTCATTGATTTATGTTTTTACAGGTAGTCCATCTGGTCACGCTATGGGCTCATCATGTGTGTGGTATTTGATGGTCACTTCTGCTCTAGCCTTCACCAGGTCCTCTTGTGTCTCCTCTGTCTGGAGCTTTCAAAGGTGGACACTTATGTGATGCTTTCACAAAGTCAGAAGCAGGGTTTTATATCAGAACGTCTAATGTTATTTTTTTTTTCTGCAGGTTTCATCTGTTCAGGTCCATTCTCTGGACAGCTTTCTGGGTCATTCAGATAAGTGTTTGCATTTCCAGAGTTTTCATTGCAACTCACTTCCCTCATCAAGTTGTTCTCGGTCTTGTCATCGGTACGTTCTGCTCAGTTGTCACACGTATCAAATGTGCTTTAAATTTGAGATGACAATCTTTTTTCTAATCTCTACAATGTTTAGGTATGCTTGTTGCTGAAGCCTTTGACCACATTACCTGGATCTATAATGCAAGCCTGAAACGGTACCTCCTCGTCAATGTTTTTCTTCTCTCGTTTGCTATTTGTTTTTACTTGCTCCTAAAGCTTCTGGACTTTGATCCTTTATGGTCGGTCGCCAAAGCCAAGATGTGGTGTGCAAACCCAGACTGGATCCATCTAGACACCACACCCTTTGCCGGACTATGCAGGAACCTGGGAACCTTGTTTGGTCTAGGACTTGCGGTGAACTCTGAGATGTTCATTCAGAGCTGTAAGGGAAAAAACGGCTGCAATACTGTATTTAAACTCTTATGCATGACTGCAAATCTCACCTTCCTGCAGCTGTATGACCTCATCAAGATGCCAAATCACAGCGAGGCTTTGTTTTACATACTGTCATTTTGCAAAAGTGCTTCAGTTCCTTTTGGCGTTGTTGCTGTCATACCTTATTGTGTCTGTTTGCTAATCAGAGACAATGAGAGAAAACTCTGTTAGAAAATAAAAGGACAGGTTTTTTTGCAACCTTTGTTCTCAATACTTTTTGTTATACTTTGCAGAAAATGATGATCGACTGTTACTGCACACACAGAAGCACTGAAACTGGAATTAATGTGGGAAAAGTTTTATATTTTTTATTTTAAATAACATATTTGTATCATGTGATCCCAGTCATAATGAAAAGATTTCTCAAGTTTATGTTATGTCTTTGTTCTTGGTATTGCATCTACTGAAAGGAAGGCTAATCTAATTTACAATAATTAAAATGATTTATGTACAACCCTACAACATGATGATTTAAACTCTTTAGAAGCAGAAGCAGTTTGTCAATTTATGAAAGTCTGTGTTTAGCTCAAAACATGAATCAAATAAATAATTGGTTAATTGTTGAAAAACAACTTTCTAACTTTGAACAGAAAAAACTTCTCTGTATTAATCAAAATTTCTTATGAACACTTCTTACATAAGACGCAGATTGGTGATAGCATAATATTTTGTTAAGGGGTTATAAAAATACAATTTAAAAATGTGAATATGCCATAAAGTTTATCTTTGGAACATATTACCAAACATTTATGCTTCTTCAAGTCCTTGACTTTGTTAAATTAACAGAATCACTCACATAATTCTCTCTGTTTGCGTTGCCAATGTGTGCATCCTGCTCAGGGTGCATTACATAATCTCTTGTGTGTCTCTTAGCAGTTTCTCTGGGAAAATTCAGATATTAATCAATTTAAAAGTAATGATGCAGAACAGAGTCTCTGATGTAACCAGATTATATGGATTAATTAAACTCCTGAGTAGAGACCCATTTCATCTTTTCTCAGTCTCTGGTTGCTTAGCATCGGATGCACCTGAGGCCCACCTCTGCTTTGAGAGAGAAGGCTCTTTGCCAAAGCTTAAATAAAACTGCAGGTTTCTGGGTCCAGGATGTCATTGTAGAGTACATAGTCTACAAACAACTCCTGTGATTTTATGCTTGGTGTTTAACCTGTGACATGTACTGTCAACTGTGGGACCTTATATAAACAGATGTGTCATTTTCAAGTCAAGTCCAATTTACCAGAGGTGAACTCCATTTCAGTTCTAGAAACAGCTCAAGAACGGTCAGTGGAAGCAGCTCAGTTTTGAGCTTCATAGCAATGATTTTATGTGATTTGTAACTCTGTGCTAATTAAAGTTGTCTGAGGGAATCCAGGAGAGCAGGGGCCCAAAGCAGTCACAACGATGAGGCTAGCTGTGGTCACAGCTTAACTACGATGAAAATTAAAATAGTACTGATGATAATAAAGTAAACATTGATGTATAGGCATTACAACCAAAAGATGATTTGGTCAAAATGTACTGAAAGGTATGTAGGAACTAAAACAAACAAAAAGGAAAGAGAGGGGGGGAAAAAAAAAAAAACATTTTAAAAAGGCAAATCTTAAAAGTTTAGAATATTATGTGAGTTGCAGATTTTTAAAGTTCAAAATCAAATGTTTTATTTTCTATAGTTTAGAATTATGTTTAACTATACAAAGACTATTTTAAAACCTCAACTAGAGCTAAAGAAGACACAAATAGTCATTGCAGGTGTAGTTTTGTTTAATCCCTCAATTTATATAATATAACAATAAACATAAATATTGTATACAATAAAGTCTTAATCTCAAAAATCTAAAATGATTAATATATTTTTTAACTTTGTTTTAACAAAGATAGGAACTTCGTAATAAAACAGGTTACTTATGTTCTTTTCTCTAGGAGACAAATAATGCCATAATACCTGAAATTGGAACAGGGAGCACATCGAAAGCATTTGTTGAAAGACTGTTTAGCCTTGCTAAACATCGGCTTGCAATGAAGCTATTTTGTATCTTTTAATGATATGAAAGTGTATAAATATACATTTTTTAGACACACAAAAAAACTCAATTTCAAATTATTACCTTCTGGTTTTAAACATGCATTCACCACAGCACCATTGAATTCATGGTGATGTACTGATTTATTTTATCAAAGATTCTTAATACTGTTTGTTGCTCCAAGTGATTAGCTGATCGGAGCTCCTGTTGTGACCAGTTTGTAATATGCTCCCTTCTTAGCCATGAGTTTATCATGCGTGCCTTGTTCGATGACCACTCCTTGGGACATTACCGCTATGATGTCTGCATTCTGGATGGTGGAGAGCCGGTGAGCAATGACAATGCAGGTCCGTCCTTTTCTTGCTTCATCCAGCGCAGACTGAACAGTCTGCAGATAAACAAAGCTCTATCAAGACAAAATACTCTTGGGGTTTCATGCAAGGGCATTTTTAATGCACGTAAAAGAAAATGTACTTTGTTCAGCTGAATCTCTTGCGTTAATGAAGTTAAGTCTTTTTTTTTATTATTATTATTTATTTATTTCACCTGTTCACTCTCTGTGTCCAGAGCAGAAGTCGCCTCATCTAGCAGCAGAATTTTGGGGTTTCGGACAATGGCTCTGGCGATAGCAATGCGTTGCTTCTGTCCCCTTGACAACTGTGAACCCTGGGCACCAACCTGAGTCTCATATTTCTACCAGTGTGTTCCAGTGGTAAAGAAAATGAAAAAAATTAACATGGTTACCATTTGTTCTCCATAACACATCATTATGTTGAAATACCCTTTTAACTCATTTATATTTTGTGACATTTTAGCTCCAGGCTTCAATGTAATTTATTCTGATTTATGTGACAGGCCAACACAAAATAGAATAAAGTTGAGCTAAAAGGACATGTTGTATCACAATAAAGACGATAAAGCCACCTAAGTAAATATTATGCATGATATAATCAAATTTGTAGGCAACTCGCTTTTTTGAAAAGAGATTATTTGTTTTCATATAACCAACAGCATTGTGTAGGTCAGTGGTTCCCAAACTTTTTCTCCTGGGCCCCCCCAGTGGTTTCCA